CCCACGATAGTCCCTGGTCAGGCTGCAATTATAACCCAGTTTCTGTCACTTGCTACCAGTGTGGCCTTGGTTAAATTATTTGAATGAAATCCCAGGCTTCCACAATAACGTCCACTTTGAGGGCCTGTTGAGTGCACTAAATAAAACTTTGGAGTTATAATTCTTGTCCCCTCCTGCCCCCTCACCCACAGCCACCTTTTCCTTCTAAGACCTCCGTTCACATCCATTTGTTCTGATTCTCAGGCCTCAGGGCAGCTCTTTGTCCTAACCAGTTTGCCTCTGCCACTCAGTAGAATTACTTGCTTTAGTTTTACAAGTATCAATTGTGGTCATTTACAAGAACTATTGTCCAAATCAGCCTAATTGCTCTGTAGTACAAGAATAACAAGGGCAAATTCACATTGTTTGACCTCCCACCATGTACCAGCACCGCAGCTCACCTGCCTTATCATACCCTACTTGTCATTAGGTAGGTACCGGACAGCGCTTTTGCACTACTGGTATTCACTGCGCACCTGGAGCCCCAGCAAGGATTTAAAAACTTGGTCACTGCATAAACTGGTTTAGGTTCTAACCTAAACTTCACAAATATTTAGGCATGGGCAGGTGTATGCCCAAGTTGAAAATGAGACTGGAGGGATGAGCACTTGACCTAGCTGAGGTTAACTCGACCTAGCTTAACTTGACCTAGTTAAGATGCCAGTCAGGACACCCAAGTCCCATCTGGTTTCAATTCCCAGCTCTAGCTCCTGACTCCAACTTTTTGTTAATGCAGATCCTAGGAGGTAGCAGTGATGGCTCAAATAATTGCGTTCCTGTCTCTTGTTCGGAAGACCTGGATTGGGTTCCTGGCTCCCAGCTTCAGTCCCTGGTCATTGTGGGCACGTGGGGAGTAAACCAACAGATAGAAGCTCTCCCTCTGCATCTCATATAAGTAAACAAATATTTTTAATTAAAAAATGAGACTGAAATGTGGTGAATTCTCATGGGAACTTGCCTAACAAAACAGTTTTATTTTATTTATTTATTTATTTATTTATTTATTTATTGGACAGGCAGAGTGGACAGTGAGAGAGAGAGACAGAGAAAGGTCTTCCTTTTCCATTGGTTCACCCCCTCAATGGCCGCTGGGGCCGGCGCGCTATAGCCTGCGCACTGTGCTGATCCGAAGCCAGGAGCCACGTGCTTCTCCTGGTCTCCCATACAGGTGCAGGGCCCAAGGACTTGGGCCATCCTCCACTGCACTCCCGGGCCATAGCAGAGAGCTGGAAGAGGAGCAACCGGGACAGAATCTGGCACCCTGACCGGGACTAGAACCTGGTGTGCCGGCGCTGCAAGGCGGAGGATTAGCCTATTGAGCTACAGCAGCGCCAGCCTAATAAAACTGTTTTTTATTTTTTATTTATTTATTTTTGACAGGCAGAGTGGACAGTGAGAGACAGAGAGAAAGGTCTTCCTTTTGCCGCTGGTTCACCCTCCAATGGCCACCGTGGCCAGCGCGCTGCAGCCGGCGCACTGCGCTGATCCGATGGCAGGAGCCAGGTGCTTCTCCTGTTCTCTCATGGGGTGCAGGGCCCAAGCACTTGGGCCATCCTCCACTGCACTTCCGGGCCACGGCAGAGAGCTGGCCTGGAAGAGGGGCAACTGGGACTAGAACCTGGTGTGCCGGCGCCGCAAGGCGGAGGATTAGCCTAGTGAGCCGCGGCGCCGGCCACAAAACTGTTTTTTAATAAATTGACCACTGGGGGCTGGTGCTGTGGCATAGTGGGTAAAGCTATGGCCTGAAATGCCAGCATTCCATACAGTTCAACTCCCAGCTGCTCCACTTCCCATCCAGCTCCCTGCTAATGTGCCTAGGAAAGCATGGAAGATGGTCCAAATCCTTGGCCCTTGCCGCACACATGGGAGACCTGGAAGAAGTTCCTGGCTCCTGGCTTCAGACAGACTCAGCTCCAGCCATTACAGCCATCTGGGGAGTGAACCAGCAGATGAAAGATCTGTCTGTCTCTCCCTCTCTCTCTCTCTAACTCTGTCTTTCAAATAAATAAATATTTTTTAATTGGCCATCAAACATTTATTGAATGAGTACTGGTGCTTGTGAGGTTCCACTACTTCTGGAGTGGAGATCCCAGCTGGGCTGGTTCCACCAATATCAGACGTCTCATGTAGCTGGCTCAGGCTGGGCTGGGTGTGGTGTTGAGGGAATGGACGGGGCCCTTTGTGGGTGCTCAGAAGAGCTCTTCGTGTAGGACTAAACAAGGAGGCTGTAGTGAGAGATCGAAGGTAGTGTTGGGAAACTTGAGCTCAAGTTCTGGCAGAGGCTTAAGTGGCTGGGTTACTTAGGACAAGTCCTTGAAACCTCAGGTGTTTTTTTAAAAAAATATTTATTTACTTGAAAGGCAGAGTTACAGAGAGGCAGAGAGAGAGAGAAAGAAAGATATCGAGATCTTCCATCTGCTGGTTTACTCTTCAAATGGCCAGAGCTGGGCTGGTCTGAAGCCAGGAGCCTGGAGCTTCTTCCAGCTCTTCCATGTGGGTGCAGGGGCCCAAATACTTGGGCCATCTTCTACTGCTTTCTCCAGCAGGGAGCTGTATCAGAAGTGGAGCAGCCGGGACTCGAAATGGCGCCCATATGGGATGCCAGCACTGCAGGAGGAGTCTCTACCCACTACGCCACAGCACCAGCCCCTAGGCATTCTTTTTTTAAAACAGAAAATCTGTTTAAGATAAAGTTTTGGTCACACACACACACACACACCCCCAACGTCTGGCTGAGGTGGCCGCCACTGCATTCCACACCTCACCCTGCCTCCCAAGGACAACGTGAAGAAAGACGGGGAAAGGCAGCCAAGACAGATAAAGACTCAGCGAATAAATCTGGAAATCTGGGGGCGAGGATGAAAAGGGGAGGCCCAAAGGCAAAATTTGGGACAAGCTCAATCACTCGTTTGCCGAAGCTACTTACCACAAACTGCGCGAGGAAGTCCCCAGCTCCAAGCTGGGAACTGCAGCTGTGACCGCCGAGACGGGCGTTCCCTGGAGGGCCAGCCCTCATGGGTTCCAGAGCATCACGCTCAAGTCATCTACACTGCAAATACCAAGCGTGGAGCTGCACTCACAGCTCCAGTGAATCGTGCATTTGGAAAAATAAAACAATTAAATTTAACAACTTGATTTGAGAAGCAGAGTGACAGGGAGAACAAGATCTTCCGTCAGTCCACTCCCCAAACAGCTGGAAGGGTTCAGGCTGGGCCAGGCAGAAGCCAGGAGCCACAACCTCCATCCGGGTCTGCCATACCATCTTCTGATGCTTTCCCAGGCACATTAGCAGGGAGATGGATGGGATACGGAGCAGGTGGGACTAAAACCAGCACTCCCGAATGGAGTGCCATTGTCACAAGCGGTGCCTTAGCCTATTAGGACATTTTAAAAATTATTGTCCTTTTTATTTAAGAGACAGAGAGGGGCTGGCGCTGTGGCACAGCGGGTTAATGCCCTGGCCTGAAGTGCCGGCATCCCATATGGATGGCGGTTCTAGTCCCGGCTGCTCCTCTTCCTATCCAACTCTGTTGTGGCCTGGGAGGGCAGTGGAAGATGGCCCAAGTCCTTGGGCCCCTGCACTCATGTGGGAGACCCAGAGGAGGCTCCTGGCTTCAGATTGGCTCAGCTCTGACCGTTTCGGCCATGGAGTGAACCAGCGGATTGGAAGACCTCTCTCTCTGCCTCTCCTCTGTCTGTGTAACTCTGCCTTTCAAGTAAATAAATCTTAAAAAAAAAAAAAAAAAAGGCAGCGAGCCACCATCTGCTAGTTCACTCCCCAACTGCCTTCTATGACGAGGGCCGAGCCAGGAGCCAGGCACTCTATCCAGGTCTCCCACAAGGGTGGCAGGAACCTAACAGCTTGAGCCATTCCCTCTGCCTCCCAGATCTGCGCTGCCCAGGCATTCAGATACGGGACAGGAGCATCTTCACGGCTCAACACGTCACAGTGATGCGAAGGTGATGGCATCTCATTTCGGCTTTGATTTGCATTTCCTTAATGGTTGGTGACACTCGTGCTGGATGGTCACCGTGTGTATCCCTTCTGGAGAAATGCTATTCACTCTCTGCCTACTTTTAAATTGGTTTGCTTGCTTGCTTGCTGTTGCGCAGTTGCAGGAGTTCTTCCGTCTAGATATTAACCTCCCGCGGGACATGGGATCTGCAAACGTCTCCTCTCGTTCTGTGGGCGGCTTTCTCTGTCCCTCCACTGTCTCTTCTCGGGCCGAACGGCCGTGCCTCCCTCGTCCTTTGCCCATCTATGGGAAAGCTGTGCGCCGTGAACTCTTCCGAGTGGTGGTGCAGAAACCACACGGTCTCTGCGTTACGGTAGAAGCCACGGTCGCGTGCCACACTCGGACTCCCGCTTCCAGCAGCATCTGTCCGGCGCCGCCAACTCGACCCCCACGCCCACCCCGGGTCAGAGCGGTGGCCCCACCCCAGAGTCCGAACGCAGGCTACGGCGGGGAAGCTGTGCCCACTGCCCACCCCTGAACCACGCACGACAGCCTGGCAGCTTGAGGCTCGCACGCGTTAAGGAGTCCCTAAGAGCTGGGGGCCCGGCGCAAGGCGCAGGCACCACCGAGGCGTCCAGGAGAGCGGAACCCCAACACCCAGCCCAGCCCGGAAGGACAGCCCTAAACGGGGGACCCGCCTCCAGGACCCTGCCCCGCCGGGCGGAACCCGCGTCCTCCTCCGGGCGCGGCCGGGCTGTGCCACCGGCGCGGTGGGAGGCGAAAGACAGGAAAAAAATGCCTGCGGCGAGGTTCTCCTTGACCTTGTCTCCGTTCTCTCCAGGAGTGGACTGGGGGGGGTCCGCCGCATCTCCCGCGCGAGCTCTCTGGCCTCTCTCGGGTCGTCTCGCCTCCCGCACAGCTGCGGCCTCCCTGCGCACCCCCCTCGCGGGGTTTCCGCATGGTACGCGCCCACCCGGACTCGCCCTGGCCACTGCGCATGCGAACCCCGCCCCAGCGGGGGGCGGTGGGGGCGGGGCAGAGGGACGCGCGGAGCACGGACCCCGCCCCTTCGCGGCTCCATTCGTGACGTCGCGGGGGGCGCCGGCCTCCGCCCGGCTCCGAGCGGTGAGAGCGAGCTCGGGAAGGGATGCGGGCGTTGCGGACCCTCGGCGGGGGCTGGGGGGGAAGGAGAGGCCTAGGCGCGCCTCCAGCCGCTGCCCCTCAGGCTCCGCCCTCTCCGGCCCGGCCGTGTCCCCTTCTCGAAGTCCCGGGGCTGAGCGTGTGTGGCAGCCGCGTTCCCGTGGCACTTCCCCGCCCGCCCCCAAGTGTCTGCCTCCCCGCCGTCCAGGCGTACCTTTCCATCCAGGCCTTGGCCCTACGACTCCTGTGCCAAGGCCTCCGAGCCTCAGCCCCCTCCCCCCATGTTTGTTTTTGTTGTTTTGTTTTCCTGCCTCATCTGGTTTGGGGGAGCAATAGGACACAGAGAAAAGAGAAGGGAAATGGACATTGTGGGGTTTCTGCACGGCCGAGCGCCAAGGGGAGCGCCGCCTCTGCCACATTTAATCCTCATTCCTTGGTGTTCACAGATGCCTGAGCCCACAGAGGTTAACTGACTGCCTCCCCCGTGGCTAGTGAGTAGCAGAGCGGGCGGGGTTCAGAGCTAAATGGTGGGGCTCCAAAGGGCAGTTCTGGTCACACCACCCCCTGCTCCAGGCCAGCCCTCAACCCAGAAGAGTGCTTCCTGTTTCCCTTCTGAGAATTCTCTCCCTCTCCGCTTCCTTTTTCCAGCACAGAGAGCTCTGCCTGCACCTGGGTTGCCTCAGAAATGCAATGCAGTGAACATCCTAAGCAGTGCAGGGAGATGAACTTTGGGGGTCAAGAGCCTTGGTCTCTTGTCCGGGCTCTGCCCCTGGCTGCCTGTGCGGCCTTGGCCTTGGCCCTGGTCGCCTCGGGCTTTGGCTTCCCCTTGCACAAAGTGGGTAAATGCCTTGTGCCCTGCAGGCTTCTGTCCAGTTCTCGCTCCCTGTCTTCCCGCAGACTCTCCCTGGAGGCCCAGACGCCTTTGCTCCCCATGGGCAGCTGCCAAGCAGGGCACAACCTGCATCTCTGTCTCGTCCACCACCCGCCTCTGGTCTGTGCCACTCTGATCCTGCTGCTCCTGGGCCTCTCCGGCCTGGGCCTCGGTGGCTTCCTCCTCACCCACAGGAGTGGCCTGCGCAGCCCTGACATCCCAGAGGTGAGTGCCGCCCTACTGGTCCCGGGGCCGCGGGCCTGTTCTCGCCGCTCATCTCGTCTCCCAACCTCCTTTTGCACACAGGACTGGGTCTCCTTCTTGAGGTCTTTCGGCCAGCTGACCCTGTGCCCTGTGGATGGGACGGTCACGGCAACACGGCAGGGGGCTCACGTGGTAGGCTTAGTGACCACGCTGAACTTCGGGGATGGTGCAGACAGGAACAAGACCCAGACCTTCCAAGCCAGCATCCCAGGTCGGCAGCTGGGATTGAAAGGTGAGACCAGGGGGGACTGTGGGGCCCTTCAGCCCCTCACCAGCGTGGTGATCTCGGGCTCGCTCTCGTCACTTCTGTTGTGATGAAGACCGGGTACTTTCCAGGGAACGAGCTGCCCAAGTGAAGGGTTCCTCGGAATGCCTTCTGTCTGCCTTCCGGCTCGAAGATTCTTTGATTCTGTCCTCTCGGTGCGATGACACGGGCTAGGTTTGACCCAAGGGTTCTTTTTTTTTTTTTTTTTTTTTTTTTTGACCAGGCAGAGGTGGACAGTGAGAGAGAGAGAGACAGAGAGAAAGGTCTTCCTTTGCCGTTGGTTCACCCTCCAATGGCCGCCGCGGCCGGCGCGCTGCGGCCGGCGCACCGCGCTGATCCGATGGCAGGAGCCAGGAGCCAGGTGCTTTTCCTGGTCTCCCATGGGGTGCAGGGCCCAAGCACCTGGGCCATCCTCCACTGCACTCCCTGGCCACAGCAGAGGGCTGGCCTGGAAGAGGGGCAACCGGGACAGAATCCGGCGCCCCGACCGGGACTAGAACCCGGTGTGCCGGCGCCGCTAGGCGGAGGATTAGCCTAGTGAGCCGCGGCGCTGGCCTGACCCAGTGTTCTTGCTGTCTCCTCTTAGAAGTGCCTTCTCTTGCCTTCTGGTCTGTTAAATGAGTACCTTAAATTGCTTACTGTGTGCTTAGCATAGCTCTGTGTGCTGCAAAGCCACCATCCATTTCCAAAAAGTTCAGCTTCTGAGAAAATGACAAGAGATTGTGTGTCACTGAACGCCATTGATTTCTGAGTGCTTGGCTTTGGGTGAGAGAGAGTGGCCAATGTTGGGGTGTCGCTGGTAAAGCTGCCACCTGTGACGCCGGCATCCCATACGGGTGCTGGTTTGTGCGTGTCCTCCCGATGTCCCCACCACTCCACTTCCAATCCAGCTCCCTGCTAATGCGCCTGGGAAAGCAGTGGAAGATGGCCCAAGTGCCTGGGTCCCTGCCACCCACGTGGGAGACCCGGATGAAACTCCTGGCTCCTGGCTTTGGCTCATCCCACCCCTGGCGGTGGGGGGCATTTGGGGAGTGAACCAGCACATGGAAGTTCTCTCTCCCTCTCTGTCTCTGTTGCTCCCTTTCTTTGTGTAACTCTGACCTCCAAATAAATAAGTTAATCTTTTAAGAAATGGGGAGATGGAGAGGAAGGAGAGAAAGGTGGAAATTTGCTGATTTCTGAGGTCCTTTCCCACACTGTCATTTCAAATTTCTGTGAGTCAGTATGTGTGAGTGTATACTTCCAGGTGTACATGTGTGTGAACAGAGAATGAGGAATGTGTCTGGGAGATACAGACTTGAGGCCATTTTTCCTATTCTTTTTTAAGAAATACATGGGAGCCGGTGTTGAGCCACCACATATTGAGTCCTGGCTGCTCTGCTTCCTATCCAGCTCCCTGCTGATGCACCTGGGAAGGCAGTGGGGGATGGCCCAGGTACTCAGATTGCTGCCATGCTTGTGGGAGGTCAGGATGGAGTTCCTGGCTCCTGGCTTTGGCCTGGCGCAGACCCTGCTGTTGTGACCATCTGGGGAGTGAACTAGGGGATGGAAGAGATCTCTTTCTCTCTCTGTCGCTCTGCCTTTTCAAATGATACATCTTAAAAATAAAATACTAAAGGGCAGGCATGCGGCCTTCTGGTATTGTGGGTTAAGCCACTGCTTGAGACACCCACGTCCCATATTGAGTGTTGAGTCAAGTCCTCGGTGCCTCTGATCCAGCTTCCTGCTAGGGTGACTGGAAGACTGCAGATGACAACCCAAGGACTTGGGTCCTGCCTCTCACATGGTAGACACAGGTGGAGTTCCTGGCTCCTGGCTTGAGCCTAGCCCACCACTGGCTGTTGCAGGCATTTGGGGGAGTGAACCAGCAGATGGAAGATGGATCTCCCCCCCACACACACAGTTCTACCTTTCAGGTAGATGACAAAAAATGAACATTTAATAAATATATAACGAGGCCGGCACCGCGGCTCACTAGGCTAATCCTCCACCTTGCGGCGCCGGCACACTGGGTTCTAGTCCCGGTCGGGGCACCAGATTCTGTCCCAGTTGCCCCTCTTCCAGGCCAGCTCTCTGCTGTGGCCCGGGAGTGCAGTGGAGGATGGCCCAAGTGCTTGGGCCCTGCACCCCATGGGAGACCAGGATAAGTACCTGGCTCCTGCCATCGGATCAGTGAGGTGCGCTGGCTGCAGCGCGCCGGCTGCGGCGGCCATTGGAGGGTGAACCAACGGCAAAGGAAGACCTTTCTCTCTGTCTCTCTCTCTCACTGTCCACTCTGCCTGTCAAAAAATAAAAAAATAAATAAATATATAACGAGCTTTTGCAGGGACAATATTACAGTCCTTGAGGTTTCTCTGAGATACAGTTATCACTGATTGGAAAACAAAAATACATAGTTACATGGAAATGTATGTCATGAAAAGATTATGCATGAATTTCAAACTTTTTTGAACAAAAATAAATTGGTCTTTTAATTCCATTTCTCCACCGATTGCCCCTGTGTGAGAGCTTTATGGATGTAGGATTCATATTTCATACAAGTCATCAGGATACAAAGGAATGGCTTTCAGTGTACGCACAAAGTGTGCGACTGTCACCACGGTCAATTTTAGAACATTTCCATCACGCCCAGAATAATGTGCACCTATGGGCAGTTACTCCCTCCCCCATCCCAGTCTCACAGATGTGGGCAGCCACCAGCCTGCTCTCTGCCTGTGTACCTACTCTAGACAGTTAACATGATACGTGGTCTTTTGTGATTGGCTTCTTTCTCTTGGAATTGTATTCTTTCTTTGAAAATTTTTTTTTTTATTTGACAGGTAGAGTTATAGACAGTGAGATAGAGAGACAGAGAGAAAGGTCTTCCTTCCATTGGTTCACTCCCCGAATGGCCACCACAGCTGGCGCTGCGCCGATCCGAAGCCAGGAGCCAGGTGCTTCCTCCTGGTCTCCCATGCGGGTGCAGGGCCCAAGCACTTGGGCCATCCTCCACTGCCCTCCCGGGCCACAGCAGAGAGCTGGACTGGAAGAGGAGCAACCGGGACTAGAACCCGGTGCCCATATGGGATGCTGGGGCCACAGGCAGAGGATTAACCAAGCGAGCCACGGTGCCGGCCCCTGAATTTTTTTTTTTAAGATTTATTTATTTGAAGGGCAGATTGACAGAGAGGAGGAGAGGAAACAGAGAAAGATCCTTCATCTGCTGGCTCACTTCCCAAATAACTGCAACAGCCAAGGCTGGGTCAGGCTAGGCCAGAGACGGGAACTCCATCCAGGTCTCCCACCTGGAGGCAGGGACCTACGCACATGGGCCACCTGCTGCTTTCCCAGGTGCATTAGCAGGAAGCTGGGTTGGAAAGGGAGCAGCTGAGATTAGAACTGGTGCTCTGGTATGGGAAGCCATTGACACAAGCAGCAGATTAACGCACTGCGCCCCGACACACCAGCCCTGGAGTCATGTTTTAAAGGTTCATCGTGTATCCGTTCTTCATTTCTTTTTATTGCTGAATACTGTCCATTGCATGAATAGTCTACTTCTTGTTTACTCATCATTTGATTCCTGTTTGGGCTGTTTCCCCTTTTTTACTATTGTAAATGATGCTGCTGTGCATAGTTGTGTACGTTTTTGCGTGAACATATGTTCGCACTTCTGAGAACGTACTCACGAGCGGAATGTACACTGAGTCTATGTTTAGTCTTTTGAGGAACTGCCAGACTCCCTTCTGCCAGGCTGTGCCACTTCCTATGCCCACCAGCGCACAAGCTCCACTTTCTCCACGGTCTCACCAGTGCTTGTTACTGTGTCTTTCTGATCATCGGTGTCCTGGTCACGTGTCCCTCTGTGGCAGTGATTTGCATATTCCCCACGACCGTTTTTCTTTCTTTCTTTCTTTTTTTTTTAACTGGCAGAGTGGATAGTGAGAGAGAGAGAGACAGAGAGAAAGGTCTTCCTTTGCCGTTGGTTCACCCTCCAATGGCCGCCATGGCTGGCGCACTGCGGCCGGCGCACCGCACTGATCTGAAGCCAGGAGCCAGGTGCTTCTCCTGGTCTCCCATGGGGTGCAGGGCCCAAGGACTTGGGCCATCCTCTACTGCTTTCCCAGGCCATAGCAGAGAGCGGGATTGGAAGTAGAGCAGCCGGGACTCGAACCAGTGCCCCTGTGGGATGCTGGCACTGCAGGAAGTAGCTTTGCCTGCTACACCACAGTGCCAGCCCCCATGTTATTCTGTTAAATACAGATGTTTTCAGTTTTCATAAAATACAATTTATCTATTTTTCATTTTGTAGCTTGTGCTTTTATTGTCATATCTAAGAATATCCAGCCTAACTCAAGCGCTCCAAGATTGACTCCTATATATATATATATATTTATTTTTAAAATATCTATTTGTTGGGGCCAGTGCTGTGGTGTAGTGGGTAAAGCTGCCGGCTGCAGTGCCAGCATCCCATAGGGGCACTGGTTCGAGTCCCGGCTGTTCCACTTCTGATTCAGCTCTCTGCTATGGCCTGGGAAAGAAGTAGAAGATGGCCCAAGTCCTTGGACCCCTGCACCCATGTGGGGGACCCAGAAGAAGCTCCTGGCTTCAGATCAGCACAACTCTGGCCATTGCAGCCAAAAATGGGGAGTGAACCAATGAATGAAAGACCTCTCTCTCTCTCTCTCTCTCTCTCTGCCTCTCCTCTCTCTGTGTAACTCTGCCTTTCAAATAAATAAATAAATCTTTAAAAAAAAGGTTTTTTTATTTATTTACTTGAAAGGCAGAGTTAAAGAGAGGCAGAGGCAAAGAGAGAGGGATAGAGAGAGAGAGAGAGGTCTTCCATCTGCTGGGTCACTCCCCGGGTGGCCACAGTGGCCCAGTGGACCAGGCCGAAGCCTGAAACTGGGAACTCCCTTCAGGTCTCCCCTTGGGCCATTTTTTCCTTTCTCAGGCACATTCCCAGGGAGCTGGACTGGAAGTGGAGCAGCTGGGAATTGAACCGGCATTCCTATGGGATGCCAGCACTGCAAGCAATGGCTCAACACAGTGTGTCACAATGCCAGCCCCATACTCCTATATTTTCTTCCCAGAATTGTGTGGTTTTAGTTTTTACATCTAGGTCTATGATACAGTTTTAATTTTTTGATTTATTTATGTATTTGAAAGGCAGACAGAGATAGAGCTCCAGATGCTCACAGTAGCCATGGCTGGACCATGGCAAAGCCAGGAACCAGGAATTCAGTTCAGGTCTCCCGCAGTGCATGACAGGGACCCGTAGACAGTAGAGCCGTCGTCTGCTGCTTCCCAGGGTGCACATTAGCAGGGAGCTGGATCAGAAAGGGAACTGGGACTTAAGACTTAGCACCCTGTAAGGCAACAGGTGATGGCTTGAGTGCTTGGATCCGTGCTACGCATGCGGAGACCCAGATGCAGGTCCTGGCTGCTGGCTTTGACCTGGCCCAGCCCTGGCTGTTGCAGGCATTTATAGATGGAAGATAGCTCTCTCTCTCTGTCTCTGTCTCTCTCTTTCTCTCTCCCCCAGATCCCATTGCTCTGC